TATAGAGTGGTAAGGTGACAACCAATCCATCCCTAAAATAACATCGAAATCAGCCATATCGAGGAGTAGAAGGTCTACACGGGTCTCAAGACCCCCAATAACAACCACACACGAACGATAGACACGATCTACAACAATAGAGTCACCCACTGGCGTAGACACATATACAGGAGCACTCAAAGAATCACGAGGCACAACCAAATATGAAGCAAAATAAGAAGACACATAGGAGTATGTAGACCCTGGATCAAACAGAACTGAAGCATCTCTACTACAAACCGAAATAGTACCTGTGATAACAGCATCGGAGGACTGAGCCTCAGGCGTGGCTGGAAAACCATAACATCGGGGTTGGGCCCCACCACCCTAACTATATCTCTGGGATGGCCTCCTACTGGCTGGCCTCCACCTCTAGCGGCCTTGGCTCCACCTCTAACGGCCTGACCTCCACCTCTAGCGGGCTGACCCCTACCTCTAGCTCCCTGACCCCTACCTCTAGTTGGCTAGGCAGGCGGTGCCTGAATCATGGCACGAGAACTCTGTTGCTGCGACTGAGCACCCACTAACCTCGGACAAGCCCTCCGGATATCCATCTAAATACTACGGCTGGGAAAACTGAGACTGACCCTGGAGGGCCGGCTGACCGCGATAATAACTCTGAATAGGGGGTGCTCTGATAGAAGTTGGCGGTGCACTATGAGCTGGCTGCCTTGAAGGAGGTACATAGGGACCATGACTCCCTGAAGCTCCGTGAGATGTCTGGAGTGCTGAATGAAATGACCTGGGATGATGGCCTCTATTAAAAGTACCTCGACCTCCAAATGAGGTCCCACTGAATCCACCAGAATGACATGGCCTCTTGTCAGACCCCTGACCACTACCCTGAGCTAGAACCATCTCGACTCGTCGGGCCACATTGGTCGCATCCTGGAAGGAAATCTCACTCCTTGTCTCCTTGGCCATCTGCAATCTGATAGGCTGAGCAAGTCCCTCAATAAACCTCCTCACCCTCTCTCTCTCTGTGGGGAGTATAAGGAGAGCATGACGGGCCAAGTCAATAAATTTGGTCTCGTACTGAGTGACGGTCATAGAACCTTGCTGGAGGCACTCAAACTGCCTCCGATATTCCTCTCTCTGAGTAATGGGGAGAAAATTCTCCAAAAATAGCTGAGAAAATTGATCCCAAGTCAAAACAGGCGACCCAGCTGGTCTAGCCAAACAAAAATCCCTCCACCACTTCTTGGCGAAACCTGACAAGCGAAAAGCGGCAAAGTCGACCCCATTGGTCTCCACTATCCCATGTTCCGTAGAACCTCATGGCAACTGTCCAAATAGTCCTGGGGGTCCTCTGAAGATGTACTGCCATAGGTAGTAGTGAATATCTTGGTGAACCTGTCCAACCTCTACAAAGCATCTGAGGGCATAGTTGATCCATCACCGGTCTGTGCTGCAACACGCGGCGGAACTACCCCAACTGGCTGAACTGCTGGAGTCTGAAACTGGGGAGCCATCTGCTCCAGAGTGTGAGTAGCGAGAGTTTGTACTCCTCCCTTCATCCCGAGAGACAACTGGTGCTACAGAAAGTATGTCTGCTTGAGTGACACTCTCCATAAGGCCCACTAGACGGACCAGAGCATCCTGGAGTATCGGGGTAGCTACGAACCCCTCTGGGACCTGAGCTGGTCCCGCTGGAACGGTCTGGGCCGGAACCTCATCATCAAACTCAACCTGAGGCTACGCCGCTGGTGCTGCTGCTCTAGGTTGTGCCCTGCCCCTACCTTGGCCTCTAGCACGACCTCGGCCTCGTCCTCTGCCCCTCATAGGAGCTGCCACTGGGGGCTCGGGCTGCTGATCAGCTGATGCGCATTCTGCCATCTGCAAAAGGACAGAGTTGAGAGTTCAATTAGCATTGAGAGATCAAACCGCACGACAGAGATGAATAGAAGTGATACTGTTCCTAACTCTGTAGCCTCTGGGGATAAGCACAGATGTCCCCGTACCGATACCTCAGACTGTACCAAGTTTGTCCGTGAATTGTGAGACCTAAGCAACCTAGTGCTCTGATACCAACTTGTCACGACCTGAATTTCCCACCGTCGGGATCGCGATGGCACTAAACATTGTACTCTCTAGGCAAGCCAACGTTACAAATTGTCTCACCTTTTCCTTTTATCTTTTAAAAGTTTACAAGTTAACATAAGTAAATCAGCGGAATAAATATGAAAGAACAGAATTTAACAGATTCTTAATACCACAACGAAACCATAATAAAACTCCACCCAGAACTGGTGCCACAATCTCATGGACCGTCTACGAATACTACAAATAATAGTCTGAACAAAGAAATACATATCTGTCTCAGAAATAGATAAAACAGAAAGGAAACAGGACAGAAGGGGACGCCGAGGCCCGCGGACGCCTGCAAGACTACCTCGGGTCTCCACTGGACTAAAAGCAGCAACCTCGAACAACGGTCTGTATGGTCCAGCACCGGGATCTGCATAAAAAGTGTATAGTGTAGTATCAGTACAATCAACCCCGTGTACTGGTAAGCGTCGAGCCTAACCTCGACGAAGTAGTGACGAGGCTACGGCGGGGCGTAACAATATATATATAACCTGCAACAATTTGTAATAAATAGAAAAGAGGTAAGAATAAAAAATAATCGGAACTTGCATTAAAGGAACACAGGACTCAGCAATTCTACTAGTATCCAGCTATAACCAATCCTTAGGGAGTTCTCAATATCTCAGTAATAGACATCAACAGAAATGAATGCCAAAAAAATATAACTGATGCGGCGTGCATCCCGATCCCACCATATAAACAATAATAGTATCAATATTCTCCCTTATTCCTCCTTGTTGCGGCGTGCAACCCGATCCCACCCGTCCTCCCTTATTACTCCTCGACACATATCACCCTTATTCCTCATGTTGCGGCGCAATCCGATCCCACTTGTCCACCCTTATTACCCCTTATTGCGGCGTGCAACCCGATCCCACCAGTTAATCATATTTCTCCCTTATTCCTCCTGTTGCGGCGTGCAACGCTATCCCAACATATGTATATATCAACACCAATCACAAAGAATAAGTACAAGGTGCTTCACAAGTTAACTCAATTTCCACATCTCTTATACTTCAATCCATACAATGGAATATCGCTACGATTATGAAACTTCACCCGTGAAAACAATTTAGCGAGACCAAGCAAGGTGCACCATAAGGCACCAATAAATCAATATAAGCCAACGGGGTGAATAAAATGTAGCTACAAAACCAATAATACTTCAATGGGAACATCAACAATTAACATGAAGCAATTAAATAATTCAATAAAGAAAATAACAGTTAACATGAAGCAATTAAATAATTCAATAAAGTAAACAACAGTTAACATGAAGCAATTAGACATGAAAACATTTATGGTCAATTAGCAATTAAGGCAGGAAAGCAAGATATAGGGAAACGGGGAAAGGAAACGTGCCAAACAAGTAATTTGGTGACGCATAGGTACTCGTCACCACACCTATACGCCACACACATGATATTTCACATAGCAAGCAAGTTGGGGATCCCTAGTCCCTCAAGTTATGGTTAGACCAAACAATTACCTCAAGCCAACGGGTAATTCAACACTCAACCACCATTTTACCTCTCGATTCCACCACCAATTCACTCGTATCTAGCCATAATTAATTTAATAACATCAATAAATATTAAATAAACCAATTCTAATGCATGAATATAAATTCCCAATGTTTTCCCCAAAAAGTCAAAAACCAACCCCAGGCCCGCTTGGCCAAAACTCGAAGTTCGAACCAAAACCGGATTACCCATTCACCCACGAACTCAAATATGCAATTGGTTTTGAAATCCGACCTCAATTTGAGGTCCAAATCCCCAAAATTCAAAAATCCTAATTTCTACCCAAGAACAGCCAATTTCCCATGAAAAACCCTAGATTGTGAAGTGAAATCATGTAAAAAGATGAATTAGATTGAAGAAGATGAGTTATAAATCACTTACCTATGATTTGGAGAAGTTTGAGTCTTTGAAAAATCACCTAGGGATATTTAGGGTTCGAAATTTTGAAGAATGAAGTTGAAATCACGTCCAAATGATGTTTTGTTCAGGTGTAGATGTCGCAATTGCGACTGGAGCTTCGCAATTGCGAAGCTCGCATATGCAAGACAGGCTTCGCAATTGCGAACCTGTTGCATGTCTGCTCCTCTCGCAATTGCGAGCATTTTGTCACAATTGCGATGACTAGCCCCTCCCTGTTGACTTCGCAATTGCGAAGGGATGTTCGCAAATGCGAACCAATTCTGGTCTGGGCTTCTTCGCAATTGCGATAAAGTCCCAAAACACTCCGTGGCCTATCCAAAACTCACCCGAACCAAGCACGCACACAAGTCTAAAAACATCATACGGACTTGCTCGTGCGATCAAATCGCCAAAATAACATCTTAAACAACGAAGTTAACACCAAAACTCATGAAATTCATAAAATAGTCCAAATCTCTAACTTTTCAACCAAAGGTCTGATTTATATCAAATCTCTTCCGTTTTTCACCAAATTTTGCAGATATGACGTAAATATTATATTGAACCTGTACCGGGCTCCGGAACCAAAATACGAGCCTGATACCATCAAGATTAGACACCATTTTATTTCCAAAAGTCCTTACATTTTCGAGCAAACAATTTTCTTTAAAAATTCCTTTTCTCGGGCTAGGGACCGTTCCGGGCATACGCCCAAGTCCCATATTTTACTACAGACCCTCCGGGACCGTCGAAACACGGGTCCGGGTCCGTTTACCCAAAATGTTGGCTGAAGTCAACTAAAATCATATTTTTAAGCCAAAATCATTATTTCTTTAAAAATTTCACACAAAAGCTTTCCGGTATCGCGCCCGGACTGTGCACGTAAATCGAGGAGGGATACAAGGAGGTTTTCAAGGCCTCAGAACACAGAAACGGACTCTAAAACAAGAGATGACCTTTTGGGTCATCACAGAAGCACTGTACTCCAGAGGTTATGAGCATTTCATGCATGATTATTCATTGTTCTACAGGAAGATTGGGACATCCTTGGTATATGTAGCAGTGTATGTTGATGATGCGATACTTACAGGAACAGATCTTGAAGAAATAAAACTTTTGAAGAAGTCCTTACATGATAGTTTCAAAATTAAAGATCTAGGGAGACTACAGTATTTCCATGGATTTGAAATTCTTTATAAGGATGATGGGGTCATCATCTCCCGAAGAAAATTTGTCATTGATCTTTTGAAAGAGTATAATTGTCTCAGTTGTAGTCCTTTATCATTACCCCTTGATCCAAATGTGAAATTAAAAGCCAAGGAAGGTGTTCCTCTGCCAGATCCTATGTGTTATAAAAAGTTGATTGGAAAATTAAATTTTCTAACTAACACAAGACTGGATATAGATTTTAGTGTTCAACATCTAAGCAAGTTCATGCAAGACCCAAGGGAGCCAGAATTGAAGGCAGGTTATCACATATTGAGATACTTGAAAGCTGATCCCAACCTAGGGGTTTTCTTCTCCAAAAATGTTGACTATACAGTGAGAGCATACTGTGATTCTGATTGGGCATCATGCCCAGACTCCAGGAAATCAGTAACCGGGTACATTGTTCTACTGGGAGATAGCCCTATCAGCTGGAAACCGAAGAAACGGGAAACCATCTCCTTGTCATCAGCAGAAGCAGAATACAAGTCCATCAGAAAAGTGGTTGGTGAGCTGGTGTGGTTACAAAGGCTGCTTGAAGAACTCACAGTCCCATTCTCCAGTCCTATTGCAGTATTCTGCGACAGCCAATCAGCACTTCACATAGTAAGGAACCCAGTATTCCATGAACGAATGAAACATATTGAGGTCGACTGTCATTTCTTTCGAAACAATCTACAGGAAGGGCTCATTTCTCTACTTCACATTAGAACTGATCATCAACTTGCCGACATTCTCACTAAAGCACTAACGGGGATCAAACATTCCAACATCCTCAGCAAGTTGGCAGTGACAACCTCACTTCCAACTTGAGGAGGTGGGGTATTGAGATCATTAAGAGATAAACTCTGTATTATTTATAGCTCTTTAGGGTAGTTGTACTTATAGCATTAAGAGTAGTACCAAGCAGTTAGGTTGTTTGTTGAGTTAGTTAGACCTCCAAAAGTTAGTTAGTCAGTTGGGAGTTGGGCTTTGTTAGTTTCTTTCTTCTCTGATTGTGTATTGTATATATACAGTCTTGTTGAGATAATGTGATTGAGACTTTCATTTCCAAATTCATTTTGCTCCTTTCTCGAAGATGCTCTCAATTTCAGTCTTCTTCTCCAAGTCTCCATTCACACCATTGGAGCTCTTCTCGAGCTCAATTGTTCCTTTGTTCTGCTGACTTTGATAATTACATATAATATTAAGCTCTAAACTATAGTGTTTTATGAATTTTATTCAGTAAGCAATAGGGCATGTTCTCTTTAGATGTAGAGTTAACAGACGCACCTAAGGAGCCAAGATATTTGTAGGGGTGGCAAATGGGCGGGTTGGGCTGAATTTAGGCGGGTCAAGATGGGTTAGGTCAATAAATGGGTCATTTCCCAACCCAACCCAAAGTGTACTGGGCTAAGATGGGTTGGGTCAAGATGGGCTAAACGATGGGTCATACCCAACCCACCCAACTTGACCCATATTTTAGAACCATGCTCGTCTTGCATTAAAAAAACTTTTATCTTAAAATGTGCAAGTTGAAAAATATTTTACAGGTGGGGCTGGGGGTTGGGCTGGGTAGGTGGTGCAGAAAAATGAAAAAAATAGAAAACATAAAATTAAAATTATTAAAAAAAAAAGTAAAAAAAAATTGAGGGGTTTGCGGGAGGGGGTAGTGTGGGTGGTGCAGAAAAACAAAAAAATTGTAAATTAAAAATACAAAAAAAAAAAAACTCTTGGGGGGGGGGGGTTGGGGTTGGGTGAGTGCGTGGTGCAGAAAAATAAAAAAAATAGAAAATTGAAAATACAAAAAAAAAATAAAAAGTAAAAAAAAACTTAGGGGGGTTTGGGGGGTAGGGGGTAGGGTGGGTGGGTGGTGCAGAAAATAAAAGAAGAGATAATTGAAAATACAAAAAAAAAAAAGTAAAATTGGGTTAACTAATTGACCCATGAGATAAAATATTTTAGCCCAACCCATTAATCTCTGGGCAGGTTGGACGGATTGGATGGGTTTGGGCTCAAATTGCCACCCCTAGATATTTGCAGCCTTGGGCTAAAATGTTCTTCTCTTATTCTACCTTTCAGTCATATATTAGCTAGAGGGTTTGGGGGGATTTGCATCTATACCCGCTTTTTGGGTCACGTTTTAACTTGTGCCCGCTTTGCAAAAAAAATTGCAAGCGTACCCACTTTTTCGCGTAACATCAGCATACGGGGCTGAAGTAGCAAAGGCAATCACGCAAAACTTCAGCATTCTAGTAGACGGGCCTGAAGTAGCAAAGGCAATACGCTGAAGTTTTTTTGTCCTGGATAAGACGCTGAAGTTATTTAGTACATTTGTAAAAACTTCAGCACTAAAATAGCTGAAATTTTTTTGTCCTGGATTCATTAGTTTTGTCATAAAACTTTTTCAAAAACTTCAGCAGAAGATGCTGAAGTTATTTATCATTTGTATAAACTTCAGCACTAAATAGCTGAAGTTTTTTGTCCTGGATTCATTAGTTTGTCATAAAACTTTTCAAAAACTTCAGCAGAAGATGCTGAAGTTATTAGTTCATTTGTAAAACTTCAGCACTAATAAGCTGAAGTTTTTTTGTCATGGATTCCTTAGTTTTGTCATAAAGCTTTTTCAAAAACTTCACCAGAAGATGCTAAAGTTATTTAGCTCATTTGTAAAAACTCCAGCACTATATAAGCTGAAGTTTTTGAAAAAGCTTTCTAACAGACTAGATAAATAGTCACCTTATTCTTTCATAGTGTATTACTACTATAAAATAATCAGATTGCCAACAGTATCTAAATCATAAATTTTGGAAACAATAAACGTGAAAAGAACAGAATTATCATGAAAAGAATTACTAAGTGTGACCTTAAACTTCGCGTACGTGGAAATATTCACAAATTATTGTCTACTAACTTATGTAATTATTTATAATTTATTTTTAAATAATCTGATAAACATACTTATGGCAATCATCCCATGAACTGAAGTTTCATAGTAGCACCAACAGCAGCAGAAGAAAGAAGAAAAAGAAGAAGAAAACGAAGGAGGAGAAGGAGGAGGAGAAAGGGGACTGAAGTTGTTTAAAAAGTGGGTACAAGTTAAAACTTTTTTTAAAAAATGGGTATATGTTAAATGGGGGCGACCAAATAGGGCGCCCCGTGCAATTTTT